CCCCCCCCCCCCCCCCCCCCCCCCCCTCGATGGCCACAGCACCAAGGGGGGCCGGCGCACCAAGGGGGTCCGGCGTTCCCGGAATGCCGCCCCCCCTGTGTGCTAAGGGGGATGAAGGGGGTCCGTCCGATCTCCTCGATGGCCATAACAGCAAGGGGGTCCGACGTTCCCAGAACGCTGGACCCCCCTAGTGCTGCGGAGTGTAATGGGGCCCGTCCCGCGCCCCCCCCCCTCGATGGCCAGAGCACCAAGGGGGTCCGGCGTTCCGGGAACGCCGGACCCCGTTTGCGCTGTGGGGGATGAAGGCGTTCCGAGAGATCCCCTCGATGGCCACAGCAGCAAGGGGGTCCGGCGTTCCCGGAACGCTGAATCCCCCAAGTGCTGTGGGGGAGTAAGGGGGTCCGTCCACACATGGCAATGACGACCTTCCTCACATGGCGTTCCCGGAACACTGGACCCCCCCGGTGCTGCGGGGGAGTAAGGGGGTCCGTCCACACATGGCAATCACGACCTTCCACACATGGCAATGACGACCTTCACCCATATCGCGTTTTTGAGTTTCGTTGCATTTGCAAGGAAAAAAAAAAAAAGAAAAAAAAAAACGGGAGAGGGAGATCGACTCCCTCCCCGATGCGATCTCAGTTCATACATGGCAATCACGACCTTCCTTACATGCCTTTTTTTAGTTCTGCATTTTCCGCAATTACAAATCTGATACAAAACAAAGGGGAGAGGGAGATCAACCCCCTCCCCTATGCGACCTCAGTCCATACATGGCAATCACGACCTTCCCCACATGCCTTTTTTCAGTTCCGCATTTTTCGCAATTACAAATCTGATACAAAACAACAGGGAGAGGGAGATCAACCCGCCTCCCTGTGCGATCACAGTTCAGACGTGCCGATTGTGACCGTTTCCCGCGTGGCATTTTGCAGTTTCGTTACATTCCATCTTCACAAGGAGAAAAAAAAAAATGAAAAAAAAAAAGGAAGAGGGAGATAAACTCCCTTCCCGTGTGCGATATGACTTCATACATGGCAATGACGACCTTCCCCCACGTGGCTTTTTGAGTTCCCTCGCATTTTGTGAGGAGAAAAAAAAAAGAACAAAAAAACCGGAGAGGGAGATCAACCCCCTTCCCTGCGCGACCTCAGTTCATACATGGCAATCACGACCTTCCCCACATGCCTTTTTTCAGTTCCGCATTTTTCGCAATTTCAAATCTGATACAGAACAACAGGGAGAGGGAGATCAACCCCCCTCCCTGTCCGATCACAGTTCAAACGAGGCGATTGTTACCCTTTTTCGCGTGGCATTTTGCAGTTCGTTACATGCCATCTTCGTAATCCGAAAAAAAAAAACGAAGAAAAAAAAGGGAGAGGGAGATAAAATCCCTTTCCGTGTGCGATCTGACTTCATACATGGCAATGACGACCTTCCCCTACTTCGCTTATTTGAGTTTCGTCGCATTTGCAGGGAGAAAAAAAAAAAAAAAAAAAAAACACGAGAGGGAGATCAACCCCCTCCCCTGTGCGATCTCAGTTCATACATGGCAATCACGACCTTCCCCACGTGCCTTTTTCAATTTCGCATTTTTTGCAAGTACAAATCTGACACAAAACAAAAGGGAGAGGGAGATCAACCACTGTCCCTGAGCTGTCTCTTATACACATCTAGATGTGTATAAGAGACAGCCCTTGGAGGCGTGACTCTCACTTTTGCTGCCACCACTTTCCCCGACATGAGCAGGAGTAGCGCGACTTCTCTCTTGCGGCATGTCATGTCCCCG